AATAAGTAATGGTAAATGGCATGGAGGCAAATGATATTGGCAATACACTTCCCCTAGACCCAAGTAGGCCAATTTTTTTGCTCATTAGTTTTGACTACACAAGCTCGTTGATAAAATTTAATACCGTTGCAGTGGAAATACGGGTACTTTTGTTGAGCAGATACGCTTGACTGCAACTATTTTGACTTTCTTTTTTTTTATTTCATCTCAAGTGGGTTAGCCTCTACAGAGTAAGTCTATATTTTGGCAGTTTGGTCTGTTTAGGTTAAGTTATACCGCATAACTGTTTATATTTTACAACTCCTTAAGCGGTAAAAAACACCTGTTCTCTATTGAAAACTCTCATTTCTTTGTGGCCCAAAAGAAATCCTTTTCCATCTTCACTTCAAACTTCGTCAAAAACAGAAGTGTTTTTTTACTTCCAAAAGTTTATGGAATCGTCGTTCAGTCGCTAGTAGTATTTTTTGATAATTACTACAAATAAAAATATTTCAACAGTTCTGAAAAGTTTCATTACTTACAGCACTGTAAAAATATGCGTAACTAAACGCTACTGTTCATTCGATCCCGACCTGTAAGTGAAAAAATTTTATTTTGCGCAGTAATTTGTATATACACTTAAATCACCCTCTAGAGACATTTTTAAAAAACCTGTCTTAAGATAATATATTTGAAAAACAGATAATATCCTTCACTACCAATATTCGATTTTTTGAAGAGATACAGAATGAGAAGCGAACTCTGAAAGTGAAATAGAACACTTTAATGAATGCTATTCAAAGTCGTATCAGCAGCTCAATACGTACAAGTTTTCTGCAATTGACACATTAGTTTTTATATTTTTATCAACACCCGTTATCGAAAAAAAATAAACGAATTAACTTTGAAAACTTATGAATTATTCTAACAAAAAGCAGGTAATATTTGGAACTATCTCTTATGTGCCAACTTTCTCTACTAAAATTTTACGTAATCTAACTGGAGATCTCTGTTTGCTCAAATTTTCAAAATTTACAGGTGTTTAGTGAAATAGCCAGTTAATAAACTGAATAAGAAATTAAAAAAATAGCACTTTCCGATACAAGTAACTCTTTTCAAAAACAAACTTTATGTAGCATTCTTCTACTGCAACAATACCGTTAGTGATTTTCAAATTGTGCGATATATTTTAAGCAGCGAAATTTAAAATAAAAATTCAAATTTCTTCTAAAACTCATTTTCTGCATCATATCAGTTTAGTATCTGTCGAAATATTACAGGTCAGTGCATATAGTTGCAAACAAAAGTTCTGCGCACTCTATTTAACGTACATAACTGATTTTACAAATGTTTTTATTATTAGGTGTGATCACTTTCTCAAGATTGACGGCTAAGAAGCCAGAAACGTTTCAGCTTAAATCAAGTTTCAAAGTAATACTGCCCTGAAAATCTTGTAGCCTCCAGCTGCACACCTGCTTCTTCTGACTGGTAATTCTGCTAAAGGTCGACGAATTGCACATGCTGCAAGGGTTATAAAAAATGCGCAAAAATAAATACCTGCTGCAGTGTAGCAAGAGAAACTTGTACAGGAACTGGAGAATTTGTACAATCATTTATTATTCTGAACCCGTTTTCCTGTTTTCTCACTATGTGTAGGGATCAGCCTTTTTAAAGTGCCAACCATGATGTAATTTGAAAGAACAGAAGTTATCAGATGTTAATGTGAATGAAAGTGTAAATTTTTGAATACTATGAAGAAAAGAATCAGTGACCCAGGCAAATGATTCTTTACGTCCATCTAAACAGCATATACGTTTGCAGAGACTGATAAAAACAGAATAGACAACAACCAGGATGACTCAGTAAGTTTTCCTCAATAATACACACCTCACTTCAATTATAATCAGGATGAATAACAAAATAGATAAACAAAACATAATTTGGCTGCAAAGTTTAAGAAGAGAAAAAATTGCACTCGGCTTCATTTAAACTAACAAAGAGCCCTTCTTCCCCTGGTCGTCCTGATTTACACACTTTCAAAGATCTTTAATTAAAAGGAACAGCAACCTAATTCGAAAAACACAATTACCGAACAGTAAATTTTAATGCTATTGAATTTCAGATACCCATCTACAAGTGACTACGAATTTAAAGTCACTTCGCATTTGCAAAAAAGAGCGACTGTTTGTCCCTCAGTTTCCAAACGATTGTGAAAAAAAGATGATCTTACTCCTTCTGGTGACCGGAGAGAGATAACGCCAAATTTAAAAACCTCCAAAAGATTTAGCAAATAAAAACCGTCCATCGTACAAATAAAAGTCCTGAATAAAAACTAATATTCCCTTTTATCCAACCGCCTCTACCTTCAATAAAACTGTTGAATTCTCTTGATGATGTAGTTACGTAAACAAGACGTTGTACAAGTAGTTAAATGGATTGCAGAGACTTATTCAATCAGCTAACATCGTACAAGAAAACTCACTGGAGCTAACGCGTCACCAAAATTTGGCCAAAAAATTATGAAAACAAGATGTTTAGTAATCTTCAATGACTCCGCACAATAGAATTTCACAAGATTGAAGTATACAAATAAACGTCAAACGAAGCAGAGGCCTGACTAACAGAAGCAGCACTTCGACTCAAAGTAAAAACCTATTGAACTGTGAATGATAATGCATTTACTACTCCAACAGTTTGCTCAAAAATACAGTTCTCAAATGATGTAAAAACTTCTAAATAAACTTTAATAAAATATGTGGTAAAATATGCTTAGAACTGAAAGCACAAAGCAGCTAAGCTAACGTCGTTAAGTGCAGAAGTGAAGCGATGGGAAAACTAAAAAAATTAGGACCAAAGCATTCATTAAGCTCGCGCAGAACTTTGAAAAACTTGGCTCCGAATAAAATTAAAAAAATAACGACGAAAGATTTTTTGTTAAACTGCAGTTCCGCCAAAGGCTGCTTCTTTCCTTTAAACTTCTATTTAACAACAAGAACGAGAAGTCAAATCTTCCGCTTAACAGACGCGCATATCCATTTGGAAGCAACGCTATATGCGACGCATATACTTATTTCACAGTACCTCCAACAGAAAAAAAATTAAAACCGTATACACGATTAGCTCCCTGCTGCTGCGAGATCAGTGACTGAAAAACTTTAACCCACTCATCCTCACCTGTCACAAGTAAGAATAAAGAGCCATTATTTTATGACAGCCCCCTCCTCTGCATGAAGAGAGACCGCACAGTCAACTACGACTTGAAATTTTGTTTCGTTACGTCTAATCACAACAGCTGCAACAAAACCCCGATATCTGATGCAGCTCCAATGCCAAAACCTGGAAGTAACGTTGAACTGAATCTTCTGATCAGCACTGAACGAACCATACAAGACCTCACCCAGTAGCTCTCAACTCAATGAAGACTTCATCGAACTGAATTTGTCTAATAAATTCAATTCCCCGTATCCCTCCACGTTAGGGCATGACCATCCAAATCTAATCGTCTATAGGAAAAAAAAACCACGATCCACTTTTGCAGGACAAATGCTGACTCAGGGACCATTGCATCGACTAAGGTCTGTTTTGCTAAGCTTAATGGGCTTAAAGCTCACTTCCTATTGTAAATATGATACCTCCGCTCAGGTCGACTTGTACTAAGCTGTAAAGTGATTCAGACAAAGCGCATAATCTTTTGTACCATAAAATGCCGACAATATTGAGTGCATCAGGAACTGATAATTAAATCACCATATCAAGAACCGTCATCTCCGAATGAGAAGTTAAAATGTTAAAATCGTCACAACAATGGTTTCCAAGTGGAGAATCCATCCTAGAAAACCTCATGCAACTAGGACATTCAAAAACGAGAACAACAATAACGGTTCCTATAAACAGTAGCAAGAAATATATCAACTATAAGTGCATACAGGTTCTAAACTCTTAAATCCTTCTCTCACTGCTCTACCATCAACAAATCCTCAAAAATAAGCATAAATAATACACCACTATTCACCGTCACTTACACGAAAAAGCACCGTAAGCGTTAAAGATTAGCAGTTGTCCATCAGGGAGAGATAAAACCAAAATCAAAAAAGAACCATAAGACGCCAACACAAAGATATTTTGAAAAAGCAGTCGGCTGAAAAAGAACCAAATAATTAAATAAAGTTAATTGAGCTAACCGAATATCTAAGTTTAAACTACTGATTTAAAATTTATCAACTGTTGGTATCTCATGCAAAAACGCCACAAGCGGTTTCAAAGTGAAGAAAAAAAAAGAAATGAAAGAGCGATTGCTCGTTTCCAGTCATAATTCAAAGCTTAAAAAGACCCAAAAATTATGCTCAGCAGCAAAACTGTTCTTTCATACTGAAAACATAATTTTTGAGAAAAGAGTTCTTGGTGATACAATTTCAAACTAGCTTCTAAAAGTGTAAAATACCTAATCACCATTTAAAAAAATTTTCAGATGAAATGATTAGTTACGAAATGCTTAGAGGTATATGTAACTGAAAGAGAATTGCGTAACCAGTAAGTTGAAGCTATGTAGCAGCATTAACGTAAATAAGGCCTTGCTTTTCAAGCCAACATGTACCAAATCTACAGATTATTTGATTAAGATCCTTCTTCAATTTAATAAAAGCTCTTTTGAACTCAATCCCATCCCCGCGTGACCGACGGAAATCAACCATAACCTATAAATTCATAAAAATAAACTAAGCAAAGTGAACGAACTGAAAGTTGAGGGCAAACCTTAGTCTTCCAAAACCAGCTAATATTTCATATAAACAAACCTTGTCACCAGAGATTTGTCCCATGTCATAAACAGCAACCAGGAAGGTCGTTTTACGAGTTTGAATTGTAATCTGAAAGAATTAGCAAAAGAGTGAGCTAGTAAATATCATTTGAAGCGAATTGATTACACCAAAAAACTTATCCATAACGAAATTCTATTTCCTCTCGCACCTCTTCCCACACCAAGTATTTCAGCAGAAGAAGGAAAAGCTTCAAAGCATTGCAAAGGAAATTAGCTTGCAACTTAGAAAGAAATGAGCACGAATAAGCCTGACCGCAGCTAAAAATTTACAAATCCTCAATCACAAGATTTTTCCTTCAACGAAGAACTTAAAACTTTTCGCTGACCAGTGACAGCTCCTAAATTACACACAACTAGTACTCAAAAAGATCTAAACTCGGATTTTCTTATTAATCCTATTTTTCAAAGTGATCCGCTGTAAAGCAGTTTACTTTAGGAAGACCACCGCTTCTCTCTCTTTCCGTTAAACTCACACCCCAGCTGCTTCCAGTTTTGCGATTCAAATATTCAATAAACTTCGGAATTACCATAACTGAAGCCCCTCCCAATGAGCCATACATTTGTCGCAGATTCAAAAACCATGACCAAGTCAAAAAAATACAAAAAAAACTTAACAAAAAATGTCATAAGATACGGAATACAACTGATTATAAACAGCACAAGACCAAGCCAAAAATAAGACCGAACATGATTAGCGAAATCAGCAAAATTAATTTAAAACTCCGCAACTAGGTGATAGTTAGAAGCTATTAGACAAACTTAAAACTGGTAATGAAGAGTATTCAAAATCCATATGTCCCAAGCAACAAATTTCAAATATTCAAATCATTTTCCTTAAAATTAATATTTAAAAAGACCTCAATATTTTATCTTTCTTCTCATGGTGACCCACCTGATTAGCAGTGATGTTCTTTACTTCAAAACCTGCCGATTCCGATGCCGTTACAATCATATTAATAGCCTGCGAAACTCCCACAGTGACGCAGAAGCGTGTCATTCGCCTCACTAGTAATTGGAATGGATCCTAAAAGAATGAGAAACCGTTCAGCACCAATGTCTTTTAGTAAAAAAGTTAGAGCAACAAACATGAACGAACAACTCATTTCTTGTAAATGAAACTAACTGTGCACTGTGTTTGAGTGTCCATCTGGGAATGATTTAGGAGCAATTCTTCCATATCAGTTGGTTGGCTGAATGATGCATTGATCAGAGGCCCATCACATTTCCCTCTTAAAGTTTTGCAAATGATACAGCACCAGTGGTTTGGAAAAATTTAAAATGAATCTGCGCCATATCCATTAAAAAATAGTTTTGAAAAAAGAAATTGGTAACTAATCTCAGATTTGCAGGTATCACTCTCTCTTAATGCAAGAAATTACTTCGGCTGCGTGCAGAAATACCAATCTCAAAAAATCCCTAATCCCTAATAGAAGCATCAAGCTAGAACACCTTGTACTGTAAATTAAATGAAAGACCAGAAATTCAATATCTTCCCAGTTTAAGAATTTTTCAGACTCTAAGCTAAAAGAACATGAAAGCCAAATTAACACAATTCCTCTGCAGATAATGCAGTTCTCTTCACTATAGTTCTCCTTAGACAGAAAACTTCTTTCTAAATTCTGAAAGCAGAAGCCAAAACCAAAAAAAAAAAGTGAAGAAAAAATAACCAAGACGGGATAAATTATAAGAACCGTAGCAACGCTAAAAACTCAAGTCTACCAATTTAGAAAACACTTCAAAAACTAGTCGTTTTCTGAGTAAAAAGGCAGACTTGAATTAGATTAATTAGCACATTTAGGTGAGAAACAATGAGGGCAAACGTAGGCCAGAAGTGTAAAAGTGCCGCTTCTAACGCGATTTTAAACTTTCTAGACGAGAAAAAAGCTAGATGCCTGCAAGCCATCATTCGAAAAGAAATAGGGGGATTGTAGATTAGCTTAAACTGCAAATAATATAACAAACCTTGTCAAAGAAGTCTCATCGTTCAAGGAAATCTTCGCGGGCCTGTAGGCGGGAGGCTGGGAATACGAATCACAAACAAAACTAAAAAATTCCTTCTTTCAAGGTTGTCACCTATCCCATCATGTCCTGCAGTAAAGTAAACAGTAATTTAACGTTCAAAATCCCACCTTTCCTGAATGACATCCAAAGCACAACGCTTACGTTTTGAAACAACCCCGTTAATCTGACAAAACTCGGAATTAGCGTCTAGCAAACCTAAACAATCCTTACTATAAAAGTCAGAAGAACACATCGAGCTCAATAATCAACTTGAAGTAGATCTGCAACACCCTGAAGACAAACCTCTGTTTTTACTCAAGTCTGCACTACACCATGGATGTGTTTGTATTCTTTCTATTGACGCTCGTGATTCCTCTCCCTCATTCAGTATCGTACGTAACATTGCTGTAAGAAGTAAATTTTAACCAAGAAAAGGAGTTTTGCCAAAATTTTATTCAGGCACTTCATCCTATCAAGAAAGTCTGAACATCCATTATCCGCAGACAAAACGGTCACTCACTCGAATGTCTAAGTAGAGGAAACTGTGTTTTTTATACGAATACCTGCAATTTTTCAAGAAATAAAACAAATCCGAAAATACTAAAAAGAAATAAAATATATTTAAAAAAAAAACACCTAAAGCAACATTTCCAATCTTCTTCCATGGATGCTCATTCAGGCTAGCACTTACGATCCAGTTATTAAATGATAGATCAGATCTAAACTATATTTAGGAGAACTTAAAAACTCCAAAAGTGTCAAAAATAAATTTACGCCAGCAAAATACAATCATAAATATAACTAGTGACAACAAGAGGAAGTCAGACGTAACTGTTCTGGACTTTCCCAAGGCAGTTCACCAGCCAACATAGCCACTAACACTATGCCACATGACCATATATCCGAAGCCTCACCCCTGAAACCATGCCATTGCAAAGTGAATTTCTGCAGTAGCAGTAACCTTTTACCAAGAATCAGTTGGGAATTCCCTGAAAACTTACCGATATCGACCACTAATGACTTGCGGAGAAACATACGGTAGCGTCCCACAACGAGTTGTCAGGTAACGCTCTTTACCCTTGTGTCTAAATATTGTTGCCATACCAAAATCACTAATTTTTAGAACACCTAAAACGTAGGCTGTCATCTGATCAGTTCCGCAAATCAGCTGCCGAGAGGGTCAGCTGCTTTATTAATTAGTAAAAGACCTAAATTGAAAACAAAGTTTTTTAACTTAAAACCCTACCGTTTTGTGTTAGAAGTATATTTTCCGGTTTAATGTCTCTATGAGCTATGCCCAGTGAGTGCATGTGACGAACTCCTTCTATTAGCTGTACGAAAAAGAACTGAGCTTTCGCTGGTGGCATTCCGAAATCAGGCTCTAAATTATTTTTCGAACTTAAACTCATATCTCCCAGTGTCAAAAGTTTCTAAAGGTCATCAGGAAAACACTTAACTATAAATTCTACCGCTTCGAAAGTTCAAATTTGATGCCTAGGTACGAAACATATAAAAAATAAAGGATGAAAAGCAAGACACTACTGCGGTTGAAACCTTTGTTTTCCTTCAACAAACAGAAACTCACTGAAAAGAAAAAAACTCGTTGAAAATTGTATTAATTCAAACCTAATGCTTTAGACTATAATAAAATGACGAGTGACTACAGGATGCTAAGGACTGTAGCCAGACCGTGTGGCAAACAAAGCCTACTGCTATCCTCCAAGACTTAGAAATTTTACTTACCTATTTGATCAAAGAGTTCACCACCGTCCACATATTCAAGGAAAATCTGAAACTCATAAATACCTTCCATCCGCATTCCTATATATTGAACAATGTTTCTGTGCCCCCGCAACTCTCTTTGTATCAACGCCTGCAGTAGTACTCCTGTTTCAGTAAATAGAAATTATCTGCCATAAGCATTCAAATTATAACATTCCATTTCGAAACCAAGCAAAGACAGTTACTATTAACTCCTTTTGGAGAAAAACAACAACCTATCAAATACCTCCTTTCTAACAGCTTCTTTCGCATCCTGATGACGTAGAAGATCTACACATTTCACCGCAACAGCAAAATTAGAATTCCTTGAATCAACAACCAGCTTAACTTCCCCAAACGCACCTGAATACGAAAATAAATCGTGGCAACAAGAAATGAGCTACTATGAAGTCATTAACTATTTATTATAACAAAAGTTAATTTAACAACCTCAGAAATACCGAAATATGCTTGGAAACTTTTTGTCCAGCATACAACAAATCTATGTAATATCAAATAAAAAATCGCTCAAAATCGCTTCCTTCAAATTAAACTACCCTCTCCTAAAGTCCGAACAACAGCCCAAGTGGTTTTGCAAAAAGCCGCTCTCTGTGACGACTGCACGGTAGAACCTGTCGTCACGCAGTCCATGAGCTAAACTAGTACATTATCCCACGTACAAGAGTTTGTGAGCAATTTTATTTCTGTTGCGAAAAAAAAAAGGTGAAGAAGAAAACAAGAAAAGAAAAAAACATAGGCTTCAGGAAGCTAGAAGAAAGAAAAATACACATTAAAACAAAAATAATACAACACATGCATTTGAATCTCAAATTCAGCAGTTTTTAAAGTATTTTTTCGCGCCACTGAACTTAATAGAAATTTTCAAATTTTTAGAGTTGGAAAGCTTCCAGAAAATTTGTGATTTTCTCAAAATTCGCTGTGATAACGTTCCACCGTCCTTTCGCAGCCGAAAGCAGTCAGAATTGTCGTAGTTGCAGTTAAAGAGAATGGCATGAGTCAGATTTGGAAACTAACTGTTTCGGCTCTTTTGCTAGTTCTGAAAACTTAAGCAAATGAAAAATCACAACTTTAGCTTGCGCTATCTCCTAGTGAGACAATCTCTCTGTTATTGACAAGTCTAAAGAAGCTTTGAAATACAAAAGTGAGATATTTCAACCTGCTTTTTCAGGTTCCGACTTCTATTCAACGCAGACTATTCTCTGCAAAGTAACGTGTTCTGTTTTGGAGGCAAGTTTTTGTTATGTTAGGAGGGTTTCAGATCAAACCTTGCTGGTTTTGAGTTATAAAAGAATCACTAAAACGGTGACAGTTTAGGTTCAGAACCCCTGAGTGGTATCAACTTCGTTAAAATATATTTGTCAAGTCTTAACAGCTGGGTTTTGGCTCTTCAGTAGCTATTAGACCAAAATACTTATTCCTGTCAAAAATAAATCATTTTATTTATTTTTTAAATATCAGCTTCCCGCGATACAGAACGGTTCCTGGGATATGTTGCAACAGGAAGATTTCGTTTTAAATTGGATAAGGGTAGTGAAGAATTGTTAAAATTTTAGGGAGAGCTGGAGTAATGCTGATGAATAATACTGCTTGGAAAATTTTATTCTGTTTTATTCAAATGGACAAACATAATGTAGATATATCACCTGCTAAATTTTTGTATTAAAATAAGCCACTTTGTAGACGTCTTTGCTTGTTGGATTTGCATTTAACTTTTAAGTTTTCTATTTGGTCCTGATTCATTCGGTAAAACAGTCTAGTCGAACGGAACAGTCGTTGAGTGTATTCGTTGAACGTACAGCAGGTTGATTGTTTTGGCCTCACCATCTGCAGGTCTAGGTTTCGCACCGTTCTTATTTATCTAATAGACCGCCGATACGAAATGCTGTGAACAAGTTGTTCACCATTATCCAACAATCAAAGTATTATTGTAAGGAATGAGCAGAGTGGAAAGCAGCTGTCTTAAGTGAATAAGAATAAGAATACATTTAAAGTAGTGTCCATATTAGAATGGCTTTTGGAACTTTGTTTGAACTAAAAAAGAAAGTCATTTTGCCTTTCATGTGTAGCCAGTCTTTCACCATTGCTGACTCTAGAAGAACAGGTTTTTTTTTTTTGTGGTGTACGTGTGCACTTTTGTTATGTGTGGAAGAATTCTTATAAGCTCGGGAGGAAAAACCTGGTTCTCTATTATGTGGTTTATATTACGTTATGTGTTACTTTTTCAAACAAACACATCCAATTAGTTGGCACATTTTTGTGGCTACCAAAAACTGTCGTTTTTTCCCTAACTCATCGAAACCCATCAAACCTGTCAACAATTCTTGCCTGTAACACCGAATTTCTCTTGTTAAAACTAATCCTTTTTCAAGCTGTTCGAAAAAAAGTTATTTTCTTTAAATTTTTTATATAGTTATATGAAAAATAGAACATGCATTGATGTTCAATGTAATTTTCTACCTGACTACTGTTTCTTCATTTTGTTTCTTCCACCAAATCTACTCTACCTGTTTAGCCACGTTTCAACAACTTTTTCTGTAAAACTAAACATATACTTTTCTATGCTTTATTGATTTAGGCTTGCTTTTAGTTAATACAGCTTTCTTTTTTGCAATCATGAACAAGAAGAACAGAAAAACAACGAGAAGATGAGAAAAAAAAACAATTCTTTTTAGACTGATTTTATCTTTGTTTGCTTAATATTGCCAAAATTCAATGTTTTAAACACTCGGGTTATGTTTTAATGCATAACTTGTGGTGGTTTTAAAGTTTCTAAATTCTTTTGAGATTTACAGCTCTACTGAATTAAAACAAGGTAGAGTAAAAAAAAAGCTGTCTGCAGTTGTTGTCTTCATCCTTCTTTAGTTCTTTAATTTTTCCTCCATCGTCCTTGTTTTTTCTTCAGGTAACAAAACTCATTTTGATGTTTGATTCTCTCCCACTTAGTTTAGTTATATCAGAAACAAAATCAAAAAATTATTTTCTATTATGTATGTATTTTATTAAACTTCAACCGTTGCTAGTTAATTTAGCAACTGCTTTTGCTGTCATTATACTCATTAACTGAGTGTAATCAGCGATCCTGAACGGTGAATAAAGAAACAGTTTTAATATTCGCAGTTCCAGTGTCACTTTATTTTCCCAGATGGTTTTAAACATAACGTTTTGAAAATAAAATCACACAGATTGCGTGCATTTACTGTTAGTTTCAACAACTTTACTGAGGTCAGTTTCTAAATACAGAAAAAGGAAAAAAGTGGTTGGGCGGAAACGTTCTGTAGATACTGAATATTTGTCCTGTACGTAAC